CCAATCCTCAAAAAAGGAGACCCCACAATCTGCGCCAACTACCGTGGGATAAGCCTCCTCAATATCGCATATAAGGTTCTATCGAGCGTATTGTGTGAAGGATTAAAGCCCACCGTCAACAAACTGATTGGACCTTATCAGTGTGGCTTCAGACCTGGAAAATCAACAACCGACCAGATATTCATCATGCGCCAAATCTTGGAAAAGACTCGTGAAAGGAGAATCGACACTCACCACCTCTTTGTCGATTTCAAAGGTGCTTTCATCAGCACGAAAAGGAGTTGTCTTTATGCCGCGATATCTGAATTTAGTATCCCCGCAAAACTTATATGATTATGTAAACTGACGTTGAGCAGCACCAAGAGCTCCGTCAAGATCGGGAAGGACCTCTTCGAGCCGTTCGATACCAAACGGAGTTTTAGACAAGGCCTAGGCCTCCCTATCATGCGACTTCTTCAATCTGCTGCTGGAGAAAATAGTTCGAGCTGCAGAACTAAATATAGAGGGTACCATCTTATATAAGAGTGTACAGTTGCTGACGTATGCCGATGTCATTGATATCATCGACCTCAACACACGCACCGTTAGTTCTGCTTTTCCCAGACTGGACAAGGAAGCAAAGCAGATGGTTCTGGCAGTGAACGAGGGCAAGAGGAAATATCTCCTGTCATCAAACGAACAGTCGTCGCACTCGCGACTTGGCACTCACGTCACTGTTAACAGTCATAACTTGGAAGTTGTAAATAGTTTCGTATATTTGGGAACCAGCATAAACGCCACCAACAATGTTAGCCTGGAAATCCAAGGTAGTATAACTTTTGCCAACAGGTGCTACTTCGGACTGAGTAAGAAATTGGGAAGTAAAGTGCTCTCTCGATGAACAAAAACCAAACTCTATAAGTCACTCATATTTCCCATCCTTCTAAATGGTGCAGAGGCTTGAACGATGACAACAACTGATGAGTTGACGTTGCGAGTTTTCGAGAGAAATGTTCTGCGAAAGATTTACGGACCTTTGCGCGTTGGCCACGGCGAATATCGCATTCGAAGGAACGAAGAGCTGTATGAGATATACGACGACATTGATATGGTTCAGCGTATTTAAGGACAGCGGCTACGCTGGCTAGATCATGTTGTGCGGATGGACGTAAACACTCCAGCTCTGTTAGTATTCGACGCAGTATCCGCCGGAGGAAGCAGGGGAAGACAAAGACCTCCATTTCGTTGAAAGGACCAAGTGGAGAAGGACCTGGCTACGCTTGGAATATCCAATTGGCACCATGTAGCGAAAAGCAGTGTCTAGGTAATTTAGCAAGACGAAGAACATATAATTATGAGAACATAAGTATTCAAATTTTAATAAAGTTTGTTCAAACAATGTTTTATGGGATCATTAAAATCGTCATAATAATCAGAATTCAATCGAATGTTATGGTTTTTTTTCGGGTATTTTAAAAAACTTTTTCAAAAATGACGAAATTTACAAAATTCTTCCCATTTTTAATTTATTGAATACTTTCCAAACAATATTTTCTTAAACATATATTTGTATATATTTAACACAGAACTGAAAGTACAATATTCGTCATCTGAGGAATCCATATTTTCTCTTTCATTTTTAGCAAAATACAGTTGGATGGCTCATGAGATCTATTGCGGTGGAAGGTCCGGCATTTGAAGGCGGAATACATAAGGCCAATGACTGGGTCGCGTCAACTGGTGCAGGACTTCAGAGAAGACTGATGGTAGGACCATCGAAGGTTAGTATAATAGTGATATTGCAAATTTATTGTAGATCAATAATTGCAGCAAAAATAGCTAAAATGTGTCCCAAGTACAACTAACTGGGACATGCAACCGTTACTGGTTACTGGAAGTAAAATTTTTACAAAACAAAAATGCATATGCTGTGTCATCAAATGCCGCACCTCGTCCTATCAATATTATTCCAACGATCAATTCGGTCACCGAAATATTTCATTGGACAATTTTCGGCTATACAAGCGGAGAAAATTGCCATGGAAGCGAAGAAACTTGAATTTTAAAAATGTAAATTTGAAGAAGAGAAGAAAATTAAAGAAAACAATTAGATATAGAATTAAAAAAATATAAATATAATTAAAAAAAATTAGAAACAGATGAAAAATATAAATTGTTAGATTTAGAAGTGAAAGGAAGATTGTCTAAGTATGAAATTGATAAAAAATAAAAAGTAATTAAATATACTAAAAAACATTTGTATTTATATAAGGCAGTTAGCTTACTTGTTTAGGTTCCTTAAGTATGATCTTATATAAATAGTTATATCAAAAATAGAGTTGGTATACCTAATACCACTATGTATAATATACATATAAGGGGGCTGCTATATATATTTCTGGCCTAACAATGAAAATAGGTTTTACGTTTTATAGGTTTCCAGATTCTAAAAAGGTTGTAGTCAATTAAAAAAAAGTATAACATACTTGTATTGCGTTTCATTGATCATCAAGCATTATTATATATAATACAAAGATTTGCGCTTTGCTTCTGGCTCAGTTATTCGCCGACCATTTTCATGTGGTAAAGAATTCATCCCTTGGAATATGTCAAATTACTTCTTTCGTTCTGAATATGTATTCTTAATTCTTTGAGGTCCATTTGTTTTGAATTCGATCAAAATGGCGTGATAATCAGCAATGGATAAATAAAATCCCCTTCTAGTCATTGAGAAGAAGAAAAATGTGAATCTTCCTTAGTGAAGAGAGCACTAATATGAAACATGTGAGCGTCATGTACACTATGGAAGTGTCCCGCTGCTACATGCCGAATCCTAAACTGTTAACCGCATAAAACTTGTGCCTTTATGGAATAGATTCGGCTTTTTGAAAAATAAGCTGAATGGTTAACAATCCTTGCTTCTGCAATTCGGTCTGTAATCGTAACTAGCGAACTCACCTTTTGTTTCCGAAACTCACTTGATGGTTTTGTTATAAAAGAAATAACGCACAGCACAAGGCTTTTTTTGAATTGTAAATTGTTTTTTTATTCTATTTTATTTCGGAATATTTTCAAAACGTTATATACTGATCGAATACCGAACTCGGCGGCGGAATCAACGTACGATGATGGACGTGGAAGCGAAAAAAGGGGGAAAAAAGGATGCTGCGAAAGCTTATGCGCAAGTGCTTGGAGGGTCGACTCATACGGAAGCAAAAAGCGAAGTGAAGTGCGGCTGGAATGGTCCGTCCCTGTTTTTTGAAAGTTATTGTGTTCTAGTTGGTAGTGTGGTGTTATGTTTGGGTGTATTGGGGAGATGTGGAAGGTGAGTGGTGAGTGAGGTGTGCTGTTTGTTTATGATGATTTTGTCTGCCAATGTGGGGTGTTGAAATGTGATGTAGCTGTGTTTCATGACGGTGTAGACTGAGAGTCATTTAGACATCCCGGCCCCCGTGGGCAAATTATTAGCCTAGTAATCTTTGCAATTATAGCAATGTGGCCACCACGCTACTGAGCCCAGTGGGTTGGCGAGACCGCGGCCTAGGTTGACGCCGCCGCGTAGAGGTATCATGTTGTGGCACCGAATACGTGTTCGGGATTCTGGTGGTGGCTCAGCTCTTCGTGGTCGTGCAGCACGGTTTGCCTGCGGTCGTCGGGTCGTAGCACGACTGGAGGAGGCAAGTAATTGTCTGCCGTCTCGATGAAGGAGTGTGTGATGCGTCCGCATGCATATTTGGCACGTATATCCGGACTTACACTCCGATATGGAGTAGGTAATAGTTGCCAGACAATTTAGGCAGTGGCCATGTGCCTGGACAATCTGCTGGCGGAACGGAGGCAACATTCTCTTAAATATGTGGCAACCTGTGGGGGCAGCGGCAAAGCGGGCATCGGAGGCGCTGCGGTTCTGGTGGCACCGGCGTCGGATTTGCCCGTGTTGGTTGCGTTGTGGCCGTGGAATTTCGAGGGGCTGGTGTAGGCCCCGTTCGTGGCACGTGAATGGTCGACCGAACGGCTGGCGTTGATGCTGGCGGCATATCCCCATTGATCTGTTATATTATTTGAGTTATATGTTTGTGGTAGATAAGGATATGATAGTTGGTGCTACATTAGGTGGCACTGGTGGGTAGTCATGTGGATCACCCATTTATTATTACTTTTGCGATTCATTAATTATTATTCGTGGTTCGGTTTGCGGGTTATATTGATTTATCGTTTATTGTTTACGGTTTACGTGTCGGTTTTATCGGCTGTGGGGAAAAAAGCATAGTTTAACGAGCGGCCGAATTAGTGTTCCGTTTTGCGTACGAAGATCAACAACGTGAATGTGGCCATCGGAGTCGTGGTAAAGCTTCTCTATGCAGCCAAGCCTCCGGTGTGAGGGCTGTAAAGTCTGATGGATCTTGCGAGAGGGCAGCGAGAGGCCGTGAGTTGAGAACGGCTTCAATTCTGGTTAACAATGTCGTAAATTCTTCATTATTAAATTTATAAGTGTCAGCTAGCTTCTTGAAATGTGACTTGAAGCTTTTTACGGCTGATTCCCATAAACCACCCATATGTGGAGTGCTTGGGGGAATAAACTGCCAATTGATACCTTGAGAAGCATATTTTTGTACAATGTCAGGTGAGACTTGTTTCATAAAATCCACATATTGTTTTTCTGTGGCTCTTTGAGCTCCGATAAATGTTTTACCATTATCGCTCATGATTTTGGATGGAAATCCACGTCGCCCGACGAAGCGAGCAAATGCCGCGAAGAAAGCCTTCTTTGTCAGATTGGTACAGAGCTCAAGGTGTACTGCTTTTGTCGTAAAACAGACAAAGACAGCCACCGAGCCTTTCATGAGGGTGGGAGATCTTAGCATGGACGCCTTTATTTGAAAAGGCCCAGCAAAGTCGACACCTGTGGTGGTRRAAGGCAGAGCGAAGTTGCAGCGTTCCGGTGGAAGTGCTGCCATAATCTGCGTTCTCATTTTCTGCTTGTGCATCGTGCAGACTTTGCACGTGAAAATGCACTTCTTGATTTGGGGCKTAAGACGGGGAACATAGTACTCTTGGCGTACCATATGTTGCATGAGGCGATGTTCGGCGTGTAACATGAGTATATGGATATAATTCATGAATAATGTGGCAAATGAGGATTTCTCAGGTATTATTATGGGATGGCGTTCATTATACGTAAGGCTGGAATTAGCAAGCCGGCCGTTTGCACGAAGCAGACCTTTCGTGTCTATGAATGGGTTTAGTACTAAGAGTGAGCTCTTTTCGTCAATTGGCTTCGATTCTCTTAGTAACCCCAGGTCGCGGCTGAAGTTGCGCGTTTGGGTTGATGCGATAAGAGCGACCTTTGCTGTTTGTAAGTCTTGATGCATCAATATATCGCATTGGGGGCAAGTTGCTCCCTTTACCTTAAGCTTGAGTCGCTCTGCGAATTTGAGAATATATGCGACTATTGTGAGTGCTAGGGGAACGATGAAAATCGTTCAAGGACGTCAGCATCATCCATTGTTGTGTGATAAGTGTCGATTTTTCGACTTCCTGGGGCAATTATGTTGCGCATTGGTGATTTTGGCCAAGAGTCGGGAGATTCTATTAGCCATTAGTGGGTCTGCGCCAAGGAGACTAGCTTTGCTAGTAGCAGAGCGCCACAGAGTTCAAGTCGTGGTAGACTTATGGTTTTTAGAGGCGCAACTTTTGCTTTTGCCCCTAGTAGGTGGCTTGTAGTTGCGACATCGCTTTGTGTGCGCACATGTATAGTGGCACAATATGCCTTCTCAGAGGCGTCGCAGAAGCCGTGTAGTTCCACTTTGTATTCGGGGGAATAGTTTACCCATCGTGGAATTTGTATCTGCGAAATGTCTTTTAGGTTATTAGCGGTCGGTGACTATTTTTCTAAGCGAAGAGGCTTCACTTGTTCGTCCCAGTCGGTTCCGTCTAACCATAATTCTTTAATCAGGATTTTCCCTTGTATCATAATTGGCGAAAGCCATCCTGCGGGGCCGAAAAGTTTCGCCACAGAGGACAAAATTTGTCTCTTTGTGATAGCGGATAATGCGGATATTAACTCTGTAGTATATGAAAACTGGTCATATATCGCATTCCATTGTATGCCCAGTGTTTTAGTTGTACTTTTCTTTTCAAATATAAGGAAATTAGTATCCAACAAATGGTCTTTAGGAATATTTTTTTAAAATATTTGGGTGGTTGGCTGTAATCTTTTTTAAAGGAAACCCTGCGGTATTTAGGGCATTTATTACCTGTGACAAAGTATCGTATGCTATTGGAAGACTGTGGCTTCCAGACAGGATATCGTCTACATACGTCTGTATTTTGAGCACTTGTGTTGCCAGAGGAAATTCTGACTTTGTGTCTTCTGCCAGTTCGTGGAGTGTACAAATGGCTAAGTATGGAGCACAGTTTACACCAAAGGTTACTGTTTTTAATTTAAAGCTGCGTGGTGGACTATTGGCAGATTTTCGGAAAATAATTCGCTGAAAATCTTGATCGTCTGTGTGTACGACTATTTATCGACATCCCCATTGAATACGTATTTTTATATACGCCAATTTAATATGAGGAGCATTAAATCTGGTTGGAGTGTGGGTCCCGTAAATAGAATATAATTTAGTGAATTCCCCGAGGTAGTGGTTCATGAGGCATTGAAGACAACTCTGACTTTTGTTATTTTTTTGTCAGGCTTTACTACTGCATGATGTGGCAAGTAGAATTAGTAATATTCGCGTTTTATGATTTTTTCAAATGGGCTTACTTCCTCCATGTGATCTAAATGAAGGTATTCTTCTAAGACAAGTAGACTAAGTAGGTTGTCTTCCATACTTAGAAACTGGTGCATTGCAGAGGTGCGAGAGTGACCTAAGGCGAGTGTGGCTGGAAATTGTTGTTTTAGCGGTAGTCGTACGACATACCGACCATTATCTGATCGAGTAGTTGTGGGTTTGTAAAAGTCTTCACAATACTGATCTTCTGGTGTTGTAATTGAAATGGGGGGGAGTTCTTCTAACTCACAAAATTTTCTCAATTGTTAATTGAAGTACTCGTTTGAGATTTCCTCAACTTGAGTTGTCATTGCTGTGACTGG